CAATATTCAAAAGGACACCGGCAAGAGAAAAGAATAAAGTAGCCACCGCATTCGCTCTCAAAGAAAAAAGCAACTTCAATCGTTATTTCTATTATCAAATAGATTCGGGTGGATTCGAACCACCAGCCTCTCAAATCATTAGATCTGAGCACTCTTACCATCTTCGAGCTTCCGAATCTTAATATTAGAAGTCATTAATATGAAGAGAAATTTGTTTCAACAATGCAAGTATATATATTACATAAAATGCCAGAAAAAAACAACATAAAAAATAAATTACATTGGCCAACTTCAGGAATAACATGATTACATGGACCTCCCTCAATGATTAAAATACTATAGTGGCCCCCAACAACATTCCCGTCTGGAAATTGTGAGGTGCAGTTTAACATTTTTCCCCGCAATAGTTATTATATTTATGTAGACTGCTAATGTAGGGGAGAGCTTGACTACCCACAACAGGGGAGAACCAAGTAATTTTTTAAACAGGAGAAGCCGGTGTAATTATATTATGCTTCAGGAAAGGTGGGGTAATTACCCAAATGCAAAACAAAATTATAAAAAATTAATTACATTAGACCATTAAACTAGAGGTAAATTACAAATTCAACACAATAATATAGGAATAGAACAAATGATTAACACAAATACTGGATATACTCATATGTACATGTAAAGTAATTGTAATTTTTTATACTATAACAAATTGATCTAATATATCTCAATAATCAATCAATTTCTATCCTTCCATAACTAATCCTTAATACAAAAAGTATAACTTTATCAATATGAAAACGAATTGAGACTGATAAATGGTAAAGAAATGAGTTAAATATGATAGATTTGTGAATTTTTACCCAAAAACATGTTAGCAGAACTCTGAAGATAATCATCATATAGATAGAACCCTCTAGACCATGGATCGAACCCACGGGATTCTTCTCTGGATCATCATCGTATGAATTTAACGCTGACCCTAAAATCTCAAGACCCCTGTATGAACCAAAACCTCAAAGCCGTCATTGAACCCTATCCCTTGTCTTAATAGAACCCTCAAGCGATCAAAACCCACAAGCAATCACAACCCAACCCTCAATCAAGAGCCCTCTCTGAACCGAAGCCTCAAAACCATCCTATGAATCCAACCCTAACCCTAGTCTGAAAAGAACCCTCGATCAAAACCACCGAGCGATCAAAACCCGTTTGAGCCAAAACCTCAAAACCATCCTTTGAATTTAACCTAACCCTTGCCTAAATGAAACCCACAAGCGATCAAAACCCTCGCTGGCCATCCGCAGCCCACTTGCGGAACCCATTTTCCGCGAGCCAAACATGCTTTTGGTCAGTGCAGCGGCCTCTTCAAACTGGTAGGGCCTATTTTAGGCTCGCGGTTCACAGTATTCAGCAAGTCGGTCCGCGATCAGGTAATTTTTTTTTTTTGTTTTTTATGGTTTCAAAACGACGCGGTTTGGCTGCCTGTCTTTTGGCTCTTTGTGATTTTTTTTTAAAAAAATCAAAAAATAAGTTATTTAGAACTTTCTTTTAAAAAAAATTAAATAAATAAAATTCATTAAATAAAAAATATATTGATTAACCATTATTTATCCAAAAATATATATATTTTGGCCAAAAATATATTAAAAAATATATATATATATTTTTTTCCTTAAAATTTAGTTTTTTAAAAAAAAATTTTGCTTTAAATTTTAAATGTGTAGGCTAAATGGTGTATTTGGCCTAAGATGAAAATTATAGCCGTTTAAGAAAAAATTTTAAAAAAAATAAAAAATTATTATTTTAATTTTTTATTATTATTATTTTTTAGAGCAAAAATTCAAAAAGTCTAATAGAGTGTATGTTTCTGCAGAGCGAAAATTACTAAAGTGACTCTTAAAATTATTAATGTGACTCTTAAAAAAATTGATTTGACATTTTTAAAGAGTCAAAATATAAAGAGATCAGTGCAAATGACCTTAAATGGCTATACTTGCCGATCCTTCTTTGGTGGGCTAGGTTGTCAGTGGAATCCTGAGGACTATGACACGTGTAAAAATCGAGATATAGGTAAGCACCTTCTTTAGCCTGTCAAATTTTCAATCCTCGAACCCCTAAAATTTGTGTCCTTAAAAATATCTTTGTGTGTGCATACATTCATACCTGTTTGGTGAAATTCCTGGGAGACTGAAGGAGAGCCTTTTGTTGCTCCAAAATTCAGCAATTGATGGAGAGTTTTAGAGTGAGGGGGCATGGGAGCTGTTTAACCATCGAAAATAATTGTGCCTTCCACCACCACTTATGCCACGGTCGCTTGAAGCACCATGACCCCTCAAGGTGGTTGAGAACCTTGTGAGGTGGCGATACTTCATTCTTTGTGCTTGAACTCCTTCCATTCTACATAACAATAAAGACCAGAATGTGCCTAATACTTTGATTAATGATTATACAAATATATCAAAAGGTTATCATTTCCTCTTCCCTCCTTTCAATTTCCTAATCATTTCCGAGTAATCTTTAGTTTATATTTAACAAAAAAATAAAACCAAAAGTCAAAATTAACGTCAAAACCTCAAAGCCGTCATTTAACCCTAACCCTTGTCTTAATAGAACCCTCAAGCGATCAAAACCCACTAGCAATCACAACCCAACCCTCAATCAAGAGCCCTCTCTGAACCGAAGCCTCAAAACCATCATATGAATCTAACCCTAAACCTAGTCTGAAAAGAACCCTCGATCAAAACCACCAAGCGATCAAAACCCGTCTGAGCCAAAACCTCAAAACCATCCTTTGAATTTTATCTAACCCTTGCCTAAATCGAAACCCACAAGCGATCAAAACCCTCATCTGGATCGAGGCACCTCGAGAAACCCCAACGACGTGTGTTGTAGTTGAATCGTGAACCCTAACTAAGTTGCAAAGCGTCGGATATATAAATAGAGATTGGATCAGTGATGTCAGAACCCTAACCGAAGCCTCAAAACCACCCTATGAATCTAACCCTAACCCTAGCAGAACCCTCAAGCGATCAGAACCACCAAGCGACCAAAACCCGTCTGAGCCGAAACCTCAAAACCGTCCTATGAATCAAACGTAACCCTTGCCTAAATCGAAACCCACAAGCGATCAAAACCCTCGTCTGGATCGAGTCATTAAGCCCTCGAGAACGAATAACAAGAACCCCAACAACGTGCGTTGTAGTTGAATCGTGAACCCTAAGTAAGTTGCAAAGTGTCGAATATATAAATAGAGATTAGATCAGTGATGTCAGCCTCTCCATTGTTCTATAGATCGTCTTAACATTACCTTATTATGTAATTATTTTAAATATTATTTTAAATATTTGAAAAAATTAAAAAAAATGGAATTAAGTTTTGCCATTCTATTTATATTAAAATCAAGGCTAGTAATTAAAATTTTGATACTTTAAATATACCAATTGCATTAATATTATTTAATATTTTTTACGAAAAAGAGATTATTCAAATTTCTGTTTGAAGTAAATAATCAGATTTATTGGTATAAATGTAAGAAAAAAGATACTAAATCTAATAGGGACTATATTTAACAGCAAGCACGGTTTTTAAGTTATGTAGTGATCCAAAAGAGGAAGAGGGAGATGTGACGGTCCCATGATTGCTAGCAAAGCTTCTGAAAATACAGTACCCGCACCATTCTCTGTTTGGGTCAGGATATCGCGTAGTAATATACATGCCATATATACATATATATATATATATATATATATATATATTGGCCTGTTTCTATTATATTTTTGATAAAAAAAAATTGAAAGGGAGAGAGTGTTTGTAATTACATGCTTTGCCCCTAATTTTTTATTAATTAAAAAAAATTACACTTATTTTGAGTTAAGAGTCTTAAATAACAATTTGGTCTAATTTTAAAATTTATTTTTCACTTTAAATGAATTAAGCAAAATAATTATATATATCCATTTACGGAAGCCCAAAATATTATCCAAACTTTTATTTCAAAATATAAAATTGTCCTTAAATCAAATAATTTCTTCGTTCAAGAAATTCAAAAATATATATAGACTTACATATTTAATTAACAGATAATATTGTGACATTTGACTGAGTTAGGTTGATATGTCATTAAACTGTGATAGAACTTTCTTTCTTTTCTTTTTATTTGTATTTCTTTTTTATCTTTATTTTATTTTTCTATTTTTTCTTTTCTAAAGAAAAAATTCAGAGTATTGGACGATTTAATATATTCAACATTCATTTCTAAAGTGATTTAATTGTTGCTTGTACAACTGTAAAATTATTTGGTTGAATGTGTAGGTAAATCAATATATACCTTTTTATTGAATGCTAATAATACCTTTAAAACCACATGTAATTATTTAGGGAAATAAAAACCCTACATGCATTTTAGTTGTAGATAACTGATATAACAATTGGAAAGTAGTTGAGAGAAACAGATAGAAAATAAACAAATAAATAAGGGATAATAGTTAATCGGTGATACAAACTTTGTTAATTTTGCCCATTGATTCGTTATTTTATAATTAATGTTACATTTGGATTATAATTAGTGTTAAACTTGAAATCGACTAATGAATCTTATTTTTTTATTATTATAATTTGGAGAAGGAATTATATTTTCTTTTGAATTTTTTGAATGAAAGAATTATTTAATTTTATAATTTGAATTAAAAATTTGAAAGGCATTTTGGACCTAAATAATTATTCTAGATGTATATGTAATTAAATTGCTTATTTCAATCAAATAAAAATTTATACTTTTAAGATAGATCAATTTAAAATTTGGGCTCCTAAATAGATTTAAGTGTAATTTTTGCATAATTAAATTTCAAAATTTCCTTGTTACTCACAAAATAAAATAATAATTTTTTTTTTCCTCTTCCATCTTTTATACAGTAATATTTATTTTCTTTCTTTTATTTATTTATTTTCTTTTACTCCGTATTTCGTTAGTCAACAACATTGTGTTTGGACAAAAACTGTCTGTTTATCATCTAAATTTCACATGCTCTTCCTTCTAATAATACTTTTGCCCTTTTTACCATATTTGACAAATTTTAATCTCCAACGCAGTCTCTTTTACTCCGTATTTGCTTTCCTCTGTTTCTCGGTTCATTTTATTGTTAATTCTCAGTCTTCCCAATTAGTCTTCGTTCTTGGTTTTTTTTCTTTCTGTTCAGTTGTCCCCAATCTCGGTTCGCTGTCTACCAACTCTCACTAGCCCTCTTTTTCTTAATCATTAGGGCTTTGATTCTATCTGTTTGTGGGTTTTTCAATCTCAATCATTTGGTTGTTCAGTTTTTGTCTTGGTGAGTTATTCTGATATCTCAACTCTTCTTCTTAGGGTTGGCTCTTCATTTTCATTTTTCTATTTGTTTGTTTTTTCAATTCGCTGTTTTTGGGTTGTTTAAATCTGGTCTTCTTCATTTTTCTTAATTGGAGTTTCGTAAGATCTCAATTCTTGATCTTGGATTTGGGTATTGTGTTTCTTTAATTTACTGTTTATATTAATTTGGTGGAATTCAAGCGATGTCACAAGGGTATGCAATTGAACTTTACTTTGATCCTGCACTCGAAAACCAGGTCTTGAAGGCCTGGAATGTATTGGCTCGTCGCCAAATCAGTACTCAGCTCATCGAAATTGAATCTAGACCTCACATCACTCTCTTCTCCAGCCCTTTTATCGACCCCTCAAAGCTCGAAAACGCCATGAAAGCTTTCTCTTCAAAGCAAGAACCTTTATCCCTATCTTTCTCATCCATTGGAAGCCTTCCAAATGACAACAATGTTCTCTTTCTTGCTCCAACACCATCACTATCTCTCCTTCAGTTTCATTCGCAATTGTGCGATGTGTTGAAGAAGGAGGGGTTGGAAATTGGAGAGGAGTCTCGCCCAGAATCATGGATTCCTTATTGTCCTGTTGCTGAAGAAGTGCCCAAGAGTCGGATGGCGGAGGCGTTTACTGTTTTGCGGGACATGAAGCTGCCAGTTACTGGGTATGCAATGGATATTGGATTGGTCGAGTTTTCGCCCGTTCGTGAGCTCTTCTCCTTTGTGCTCGGTAACACAATTGAAGCATGAGATTTCAGGGTCAGTTTGTATGTTCATGTTAAATTAGATTTTATCTTATTGACATTTACATCTTTGATTTTGTAGAAACTAGATGGAGACTGATATCAGTTTCTATTTAGAGCATGATAATTTAGTGCATGCTAATGATTCTGCCCTCAATGTTCTATTGTTGCTCTACATTACATTTCTTTGTTTATACTGAAATGCCTTTGAAGTATACTTATCTAATCATTTTTCTTGGGTTGGGTAAATCAATTTGCTAGACTTAAGTGCAATGTTGGATTTTGAATGACTATTTCTCTATCTCATTGCAATTGATATAGATTGATACCATCATTCTCTTGGATGATAATTGTTAATTTCCTTTGGCATTTTTTAGTTTTTTTTTACTTCCTTGGATATTTGTCTTGTAGTTTTGACTTTCTAAACTAAATGAATGGAACCTGGTTTTTGTAGTTTTAATAATTTGTGCATTCTTTGAAATGGATGAAGCTCAAGGGCTAATATCAAACATTACCCAAACATTATGTCTCTGATTTTCGTATACATAGTTTCACTGATTTTCTTTGTAATTTAAATAGAGCTAATATTATGGCAAGCTTCCAGATTTAAAGATTCTTTCTTTCTACTTCACACATACATTATTGTCTGTTGGGGCTTGGTAATGGTCTTATTTTTTCTAATTTCTAGTATATGTATGATTTCTTGATCAAAGGGTTTTACTCAGGGCTGAGGAAAACAGTAAAGAAAGGTGGAAGAGATGCATCCAAGAATTGTTCAATGGAAATTTTGTTAGGTACTTAAAATTGGAGGATTCGGGTACTTTTTATGATGTCAAAAAACATTTCCCCTTGGAATTATAATTTTTTAGATTACAATGCCTTGATAAAATGCTGATGGATGGGTCTAGGATGAATTAGTCAATTAATTGAGGTATGGAAGTATATGGGGAATGAAGGGTGTCTTGGTTGGTGGTATGTTTAGTGAATTTTTTTATCACGAAGAGCTGTGTTATATGGACTCCCCTATTTTTCTCAATTGACTGGTGTTGATACGATATGACATGGATATTGATATGGGATGTGTTCAACGCATAAATCCAAATTGGGCATCATGATCCTCTATTTGTAATTATGGAAGAAGAAGAAAATAAAGGTCAAATTTGATAGCTTGTGAGATAGATTGAAACCTCTTTAACACGTATAGCATCTAAGTGTGGAGGACATGTTTACTTACTCCTATCTAACTTTGGCCACATTTCAAGTGTAGTCCCCTGTATCGGATTTGGGATCCAAGGAGATCCGAGATATTGGCATATACCCCCAACCAGATTTATGTACTTGAGTCCAAGTAACATAGATGAAGAATAATAGTAGAACTAGATTAATAGTGGCAAAATCATTTAGTACCCACATATGTAAGAAATATATTAGAGATATTTAAAGATGCAATGAATTGGAGCAAATCATAGCACTAGTAATATGATATAGTGCATGTATGATGGATATGCAATGAGAAAATTCAAAGGAGTTATTTTCAGGTTTCAATTACAGTTAACTGATATCTGGGGTTAACAATTGGATTGTATCCTTTTTCTGATAAATATTGGATGCATTTCCTTTTTCTGATGTGTTCAAACTGAGAGAGAGAGAGAGCGCGACTGAATCTGTATTTCATATAATATAATAAACCCTAAAACAAAAGAAATCTTGTACTCCCCCTATCCCAAAAAGAATGACCCAACATAATGACCCTACCAACTATACATAATTACAACATGACCTAACATATATATATATATATATATATATATATGTTCTAACACTCCCCCTTAGGCTGGAGAATATATATCATATAATCCCAGTTTGGAACAGATAGTCTTTAACCGATTATGACCCAACGCTTTGGTGAACATATTAGCTAGTTGATCCTCAGACTTCACAAATGGAGTACAAATGCTCCCACTTGATATTTTTTCTCGAATGAAGTGACAATCAACTTCAATATGCTTGGTTCTCTTACGGAACACAGGACTGAATGCAATGTGAACAACCGCTTGGTTATTACAGAACAATGGAATCGGAGCTTTAACTTTCAACCCAAATTCCTCTAGAAAATGTTGTATCCATGTCAACTCACTAGTGGTATGAGTCATTGCCCTGTACTTAGCTTCAGCACTAGATCGAGCTACTACCGTTTGTTTCTTACTCCTCCATGTAACAAGATTTCCTCCTACGAATGTGCACTAGCCTTCAGTAGACCTCCTATCTGAGGGAGATCCAGCCCGGTCAACATATGTAAAACCTTCCACACTGAGATGACCATTCGATTTATATAACAACCCAAAACCTAGAGCTTGCTTGAGATACCAAATAATTCGAAAAATAGCATTCCAATGTGGTACTCTAGGAGCTCCCATGAATTGACTTACAACACTAACTGCATATGAAATGTCAGATCGGATGATATTGAGATAAATTGATTTCCCAACTAAATGTCTATATCTTCCATGGTCATCAAATAAATCACCCTCATCAGACAAGAGTTTCATATTTGGATCCATAAGAGCATCAGCAGGATGCCCACCTAACATACCTGTTTCTTTTAATAAGTCCAACACATATTTCCTTTGTGATAAACTTATACCTTGCTTGGATCTATCAACCTCAATACCCAAGAAATATTTAAGTTTACCTAAGTCTTTAGTGTGGAACCGATTTTGCATAAACAACTTCAACTTAGCAATGCCATCAGAATCATCACCTGTGATAACAATATCATCTACATACATGACAAGAAATATAAAACCAGCTCTAGTGTGCTAGTAAAATACCGAATGATCTGTTTAACATCTGTTAAGACCAAAAGCAAGTGCTGCCTTGGAGAATTTCCCAAACCAAGCCCTTGGAGATTGTTTTAATCCATACAGGGCCTTCTTTAGGCGACATACAGCATAACGAGACTCCCCCTAAGCAAAAATCCAGTTGGTTGCTCCATATAAACTTCTTCAAGTAAGTCATCATGCAAGAAGGCATTTTTCACATCTAATTGAAACAACGACCAGTTACAATGGGCGACAATGGAAATAAGAACTCGGATAGAAGAAATCTGCGCAACAGGGGAAAATGTCTCATCATAATCAATACCATAAGTCTGGGTGTACCCCTTTGCAACAAGACGAGCCTTCAAACGCTCAATAGATCCATCATAAAGGTATTTGACAGTGTAAACCCACTTACAACCAACCAGTTTGGAACCAGGAGGTAAGGGAACAAGGTCCCATGTCCCATTATGATGAAGAGCATCCATTTCATCTACCATGGCTTTGCGCCAATCTAGATTAGAAAGAGCATCCTACACAGTCTTGGGAACAAAAGTGGAAGACAATTTGGATAAAAAAACAGGAAAAGGAGGGCGAAACATAATTATATGAGACAAAGTTAGAGATAGGATGTGTAGTAACACAAGAATGAGTACCTTTGCGCAAGGCAATAGGAAGATCATCAGTAGGAGGAGGAGCCTCAATAGAAGTAGACAATTGGGGGGATGCTTCTTGTGGTCGTCTACTATACACTTGAAGTGTCAGTGGTGGGACAGACTCAGGTGAAGTAGACACGACAGGCAATGAAAGCAACAAATCAGAATTTAAAGACGAACCATGTGAATAGAAGTAAAGAGTGTCCTCAAAAAAGGTAACATCCATATTCACAAAAGCACTACGAGTGCTAAGATCCCAACATTTATAACCCTTTTGAGTTTGAGAGTAACCAATAAAGACACATTTAATGGCATGAGGAGACAATTTATCAATGCCAGGACGTAATATACGAGTGAAGCGCACACAACCAAAAACATGAGGAGTCAATGCAAATAACGGATGAGTAGGAAAAACAATAGAATAAGGGCATTTCCAATTAAGAACGGACAATGGCATACGATTAATTAAGTAGCAAGCAGTTAAAACATCATCTCCCCAAAATGCTTTTGGAAGATGCATAAGAATCAATAAAGTCCGAGCTATTTCAATTAAATGTCTATTTTTCCGTTTGTCGACTCCATTTTGTTGAGGAGTATAAGAAGAAGAAGTTTGGTGCAAAATACCACGAGAGTCACAAAATGTGGAAATAGCACCTTTGACATATTCCATAGCATTATCAGATTGTAAAGTTTGTATAACACAGCCAAATTGGACCTCAATTTCTTTAAAAAATAATTGAAATATGGAAAAAAGTTCAGAACGGTTTTTCATTAAAAACATCCATGTCGTCCTTGAATAGTCATCAACAAAGGTAACAAAATATGAAAAACTTGAATAACTGATATGACGAGAAGGACCCCAAATGTCGGTATGCACCAATTCAAATAAAGAAGACTGACGATTATCAATACGAGGAGGAAAAGACACTTTATGGTGCTTGCCTAATTGACATGACTCACAGTCTAAAGTTGACACCGACTCAAGAAAAGGTAGATCATACTTCAAGTGCCTCAAGGAGGGATGACCTAACCGGTAATGCTGCTGGCATATAGAATCCTGTAAATGGAGAGCAACGACACTAAAAGATGATTGGCAATCCAAGTAATAAAGGCCATTCTTTTAATGTTGCCACCTTGTCTTCTTCGTTTTGAGGTCCTGAAACACAAAAGGAAGGATAAAAGGTCACAAAACAATTAAGTGCTTGAGTTAGTTTACTAACAGATAATAAATTAAAAGTAAATTGCGGAACCAATTGCACGGAAGATAATGAAATGGAAGAAGTGAGTTTAACTGTGCTCTGACCAATAATGGGACGAGTTCTACCATCTGCCAAAGTAACAAAAGATGTGGAGGTAGACTTGTGGAAATGAGAAAATAGAGATCCATTACCCGTTAGATGAGTAGATGCCCCACAGTCGAGAACCCAAGAGGAGGATGAGGTCTATACATCCGAAAAACATGTAATATCACCTGATTGGGCAAAGGTAACAACATCAGCAAACTTATGTTGTGCTTGGTTCATCAAGGCTCTGAACTCGGCTTGAGATAGTGTGACGGTGTCACTATTAGATGAACTCGATGGCAAAACAGAAGCTGTGATACCCCCGAATTTCCGAATGCGGGTTGGCCAGGCCCACGCCCGAATACCCGAGGATATCAAAACAAATTGATAATAAATGAACACAGAGTACAAAAGAATAAAGAAGAATAAATAAAATGCTGACAAGAAACTAAAATGATAATCTAATAATAAACCTCATAATATATTTCCATTAATTAATAAACTCTTCTGATACAACTGATCCTCCAAAATACAACTCGGGAATCCATACTGTGTGGACCCCTAGAAAATCCAAACTAAACAAATGACAGTAATCTAAAACAGGAAACTGAATCATAAAGGAACTCCTATGTAGTATCGGAAGAATGAAGTAGACTGATCCCCGCTCAGCACGAACAACCTCTACTCGTGACGAACACCTGAAAAATAATGGTGGATCAGGCCCACAAACAAGTTCTACTTTACTACAGTCCAAGCAGAGATCCGATACACGTATACATCCTAGTCAATCCAACAGTAACTAGTAGTCCGTATATATATATATATACACACTAAATGAACCTCACTAGACTATAGGGTTATCTCAACCTGAATAATAGGCAACATGCAAAACGCACATATAGTGGGCATGAGTACCTAGATCTACCAGGGTACACAACTACACTATATCTAGCTACACATCCCTGGCGATATACGCGCCCTAATCATTGATCCTGAGACTCAAGCTCATATCATGGCACCATACTTATATATATATAATCTAGTAACCATCCTATCCAGTATAAATTAATCCTCCATAAGTCATTCAACTTGTTCAGCTGACCTGACTAGAATATAAGTATGACTTAACATTTTAGTTAATCCATTCTCATATATAATAAATTAATCCTTCATAAGTCATTCAACTTGTTCAGCTGACCTGACTTAAATATAAGTAGGATTTAATATTTTAGTTAATCCATTCCCTTATATAAAATAGGTAGGACTTAACTGATAAGTTAATCCATCCCTAGAATGCCACCGTCCCATATCGGTGCATTAAACCACACAATCCAACAATTGATGTAACAATTAAGGAAATACATTAAACATTTCATAAATAACTATGATAAATATAATATCAAGTTATCACATAATAGGAATGACTTATTATTTCTTTAAACTTCCTATATCATATGTCCTACACAAACTGAATCTTATACATGATGATATTTTATTATACCGTTAAATAAGGATTCTCTATATCCAATTCATCCTACACATTTAATCTCAATTGCTAAAATATTTTAAAAGATTAAATCCATTCGTTTGTTTAAAACATTCAAATAGCAAGCATCATTATGATTGAGTCTATTTAAATTTATTAAAACCCAAACCTAGTCCTTATTTAATGTTCAGGAATCCTAGGCATGTTTCTACGTTCCATCATTCCACAGATATGAAAAATACATAATTTAAACATGTAAAAATTCACATAAGAAATCAAATCAAAATCATACATTTTATCAATTCATAACACAAGAACAGATATGAACCAATTTCATAAAACCTATGTTCTAACCCAATTAAACATGCATAATTATTTAATTTTATGTGTTTAATAAATCCTGGAATTTCTTAGGCATGTACAGAAACATGAATCAAAGGGAAAGAGATAGAAGAAGAACTTGCCTTAAACTTTCGGATCGAAAGTTAAACTTCTTCTTCCTTGATCTTCTCTCTATAGGGTTTTTCTCCTCATTCCTTCCTTTTCCTCCTTCCCTCTCTAACACTATCTCTCCAGTATATATCACGTGAATATTTCTAACCCCCTTTTACAACCTATAGCTATATATTTATAGATTAAATAAAATAACCCTAATCCTTTTTCCCAATCCAAGTCAACTAAAAAAAATAAAAATAAAAATATTAAAAAGGTAAGCAAAATATGTTACGTATATAATTTATGTATATGTTTATTAAATAAATAAATTATACACATTCCATTATTTATTAATGGATTATCCAATAATATTTAAGTTGCCATAATATTATAAAGTAACTTAAAACATAACACGTATCAAATCTATGTATATTTTTATTATTTAAATAAACATATACATCAGATTAAATATTATTACCCAAATTACCATAAAAGTAATTAATAAATTACTTTCTCTTTTATATATATATTAAAAAGGTAAGTAAAATATGTTACGTATATAATTTATGTATATGTTTATTAAATAAATAAATTATACACATTCCATTATTTATTAATGGATTATCCAATAATACTTAAGTTACCATAATATTATAAAGTAACTTAAAACATAACACGTATCAAATCTATGTATATTTTTATTATTTAAATATAAAACATATACATCAGATTAAATATTACTACCCAAGTTACCATAAAAGTAATTAATAAATTACTTTCCCTTTTATATATATTAAAAAGGTAAGTAAAATATGTTACGTATATAATTTATGTAAATCTTTATTAAATAAATGAATTATACACATTCCATTATTTATTAATGGATTATCCAGTAATACTTAAGTTATCATAATATTATAAAGTAACTTATAATATAACACGTATCAAATCTATGTATATTTTTATTATTTAAATATAAAACATTCACATCAGATTAAATATTACTACCCAAGTTACCATAAAAGTAATTAATAAATTACTTTCCCTTTTATATATGTATATAATATATATCTATGCACAACTATCCATGGGTAATAATTCATACGCATCCAACCTCCTATCCAAGTAGTCCATGGGACCCAATTGGTTGGCCCATTACTACTAACCATAACCATAAAAGAAAAATAAAATAAAATAATAAAAGAAAAGAAAATATTTAATTTACAATTAATCAAAACACCATTTAAGCACATAATCTAATTAAATAATTAACACATAAACAAATACAAATAATACATAGACACATAATCAAATAATCAAGTAATACCTAATTCAATTAAACCCATAAGCAATTAGTCAAATAATTAATTAAATAATTAAAAAATACAATTAAAACAAACAAATAAATACCGAGACTATCCTTTTAAAATTAGGGGTATTACAGAAGCCGTAAAAGGTAGGTTGTCTTGGCCAAAAGAGGGATGAGAACAACCAATGTCAGAAGAAGTGACTACTTGATTCGCCCATGTTGGTTTTCTATGAAGATCCCAACAATACTCAATAGAATGATTAATACCCCCACAGTGACGAGTATCGATATGTCCATGGTGACCGCAACCTCTATCACAGCCACCATTGCCACGAGAACCACCCAAATTGCCTCTATACCCTCGGTTGCTACTAGAAGTACCCCGACTTCTATAAAATAGTGGGGTGACAGAAGGAATCATCATAGCTGAATTTTCTTTCTCAATGGACATTCTATGTGATGGTTCTGAAACCCGAAGTAATCGGGCATAAATGTTACCCAAAGATGGAAGTCCTCCATCACCAGCAAGTATTTGTTCCCGAATACTCTGAAGATTAGGGTCTAGTCCCGCAAGAAAAATAGAAACATTAAATTCCTCACGTTGTCGCTTGAGAATTTCAAGATCATTAGTCAAGGGGTGGTATTGATTGAACTCATCCAACAGGCTTTTGAAAGCACTATAATACTCGCCTATGCTCCGACCGGACTGACGAGAATGAAACATCTTTTCATAGAGAGAATAGATTCGAGAAACATTTGTATCCATAGAGTAAGTTTCTTTAACTGCTTCCCAAATTTCCTTTGTAGTGTTCAAAAACATGAAGTTAGTTGCAATGGAAGGCTCCATACTATTCCACATCCATGACATAACCATATAGTTATCTGTTTCCCAGTCATTATACCCTATTGCAGTTATAGATGGAGGATCATGTGTAACAAATTTTAATTGTCGTCGGACTTCTAAAGAGATTTTCACAGCTTGAGCCGACAACAAGTAATTAGAATTACTTAATTTCATACTTGTAATTTGCAGTCCATCATGATCAAAATGTGTAATTGAAGATTTAATTCCCGCAGGTTCAGTGGCAATAGTTGAAAGCTCTTACATGAATGACTACTTAACCAAAGAGACTACTAAACTTTAAAAAAAAAACTTATTGTCCCAAGAAGAAGAAAGAAACAGAAGGCAGAGCCCCAGAGAGAAGGCAGAGAAATTCTGCTCGGAACTGTGTTTGTCGAATCCAGAAGAAAAATCGGGTCGGATCCACATGTTCGGGTCGGATCCAAAAGTTTTGGCCTGATCTAATGATTTGGGTCAGCAGAACCGGGTTAAGCCAGAACTGGATCTCTGCAAAACCGGTTTTAGTAAACCAGGTTTGGGCTCCTTCACTCCTGTAGCCAAACACTCTTCTTCTTTTTCACTCTTACAGTCACCAATCTACAGCTCACTGACGGCGAGGACGCAGCAACCTCTATAACTCTTTCTCGGAGATAGAAAAGAAGCCGCCGATAGCAAAGGACCAAACAATCAGCCCTAAACATGGACGTCGGCCACAAAATTAGTCACACCACGGCGACTACACAACCAACGACAATGGGCGACAATGATAGAGGGGTCGTCAGTTGTCGTCGGGCTACACAGCACTGTTGGTCTCTGCAGACTTCTTGGCGACCGTAATTTGAAGATCGTCGACGAAAAATTCCGGCAATCAACAACTCTGCAACCCTGTTCCTCTCGGCGACAGCGACAAACAACACGGACTAGTCACTTGAAGTTAGTACACACCCTCACCACCGATTATGCAACTCGCGGCAGCAACGGCACTAATCGGACCATTGCTCTGATACCATGTTCAAACTCTGTGTGTGTGTGTGTGTGTGTGTGTGAGAGAGAGAGAGAGAGAGAGAGAGAGAGAGAGAGAGAGCGAGTGAGCGGCTGAATCTGTATTTCGTATAATATAATAAACCCTAAAACAAAAGAAAGCTTATAGTTACAACATGATCCAACATAAAAATATATATATATAAATGTTCTAACATTATGAATATTGGATGCATTGAGTAATATACAGGAATAGAAACCACAATGTATGCTGCGTGCGAGTAATAAAATTTTACTTGATGTAATTAAGTTTGGTAAATTTTACGCGTCAAATTGTGGAGATATATTTTACTTGATGTATGAATATTGGATGCATTGAGTAATATACAGGAATAGAAACCACAATGTATGCTGCGTGCGAGTAATATAATTTTACTTGATGTAATTAAGTTTGTTAAATTTTACGCGTCAAATTGTGGAGATATATTTTAAATTTCAAAAGGTTCTAAAGTTAAAAGGTCTAAGATTGATTATGTAAATGGTACTTTCTGGGAGGACTATAAGTTGAAATGAGGAGATTGTAAGATTGATCTTCAAGAGATAGAGAAGCATGGACATTTGCTTCTCATATAGGGTTGACAATCCATAAAGACCTCGTAAAATGACTTGGAATTAGATCCTCTTTGTTGGACTTGTTTGGGATATATTGGTGTTTCTCATACAAGTGAGGGTCATTTCAGATTTGAAGGGTTTGTAGAGTTGGGAGTAGGGAAAGGAAGGCATCCCTGCTCCACTTTGTTTTGATGAGGTGTGTATAACAGGGGTATAAAATACATGAATGATGGAGTGTGACTATAGTAGAGGGAATTCATGGAGGAAAGGTAAATGAATTTTATATCGTGCGGAGCCTCTCCTTGATTGGGTGATGGTTGTTAGATGCCTAATAAGTTCTTGTACATAATGTCTTTTTATCTTAGCCTTGCTATTGTTCGTGCAAGATGCAGGAAAATAGCTTTTCAGTATCGAAACAGAGAAGCATGCTTGGTTAAATTACCAACTTTACAAGATAGTTTATCGGTTATTTAGATTTGATTAGTTGAGAAAACAGTAAGACATGTTTGCTTGAATGTCCGCTAGCCTATGACATCATTGCTTCTGCTCCACCAGTACCTTTGTTTATATAGATTCTCATGGCCCCTCTAAACTGTACCATTTTGTGGTTCTTTCATTTCTCCATACCTCTCTTCTTTTTTCTTTTTATTTTAATTGAATTGCCTATACTTACCCTCATTGATTAGGACCTAGCTTCTACTTGGTAAATCCATATCAAAGTGCATTGTGGGAGAGCTGAGGGGAGATTCTCAGTGTGGCGCTTAACCTGAATTTATCTCAACCCTCAAGTGATAAACCAGCTTCCTTTTTCAGCACAGCCATCAACAAATCATTCCATGCATCGATAGGCCCCGGTAAACACCAATGTAGACAGTCATTGATACCCGTCATCTGTTGGTTACCATAGTGGGGTCCAGGGTGCCCATCAGGTCTCATTAGCATGGCCATTGTAACATCCAACTCCACAAACCTCTGTCCTCTCTGTCCTCCTTTTCTCACTCTTTCTACTTCTTCCACTTGAACGGTCCTCAATTCCCACTCAAAACCTCCCAAGTTAATTTCACCTTCACCCAGGGGACTGGTCTTGTTGCAGTATCCTCCAGCGTTCCAAGCCCCATTCTCAAAATGTGCTGGTGAGAATGTCCTTACCAGAGTCGTTAATCCCTTGCACTCCTTGCAACCACTGATGAACTCGAGGGTAGTACGGAAGACCTTTCGGAAGGCGAAGTCAAGCCCGAAATGTGTGACATTCAGATCGCTGCAATACACGCATCCAATCAGAATCCCGCCCTCGTATATGTAATTGGGTCGGAAGAACCAGTGGGCATCGGAGATGATAGCATAGTCTGATCCTTGAAGTTTTTGAGACCATTTGTTGTCAATTCTGTCAAGATGTAAGTTGAAAGGGCCAAATGAAGAACCATTGATAAATCTCTCCTCGCTGGTGACTAAGAATGTTGTTGGGATGAATACGAGGGTGAAGTTGTGTGAGTAGAAATACATCGTCTGAGATCTGTCCTCGCCATCCTTGTCTACTTCAGTTGGACCTACCACCTAGAAGAAGTTGATAGTTGATAATTTGTTACAATTTAATTAGACCACCTAGAAGAAGTTGATAGTTGATAATCTGTTACAATTGAATTAGACGAGAATCTTGGTGAAGTTGCTGGTGGCTTATCAATGATGTTGGGTCAGTTCATTGCGATAATCATTCAATTTTCAATTTAATTAAAGAGTTCATGATACCATGAAATTGAGCATACATTATGTCTTTTTTTCGGTTAGGGCATGCATAATGTCTCGAGTGCTTGGAATTACAAATTTTTCTCTTCTCGTACTCTTCCAATTCATCACAATCTATTTGGAGATGAATAACATACATTCGAACGGATCATATCAGTTCTAGGATCTGAAGGGAGTTGATAACTCTGGTTTTAATATGGAACCCTGCTAATTCAGGATGTACTACTTCATTTATTTAGAAAGAAAATTAAACAGTATATTATATATTATATTTGATAGTAACAGGCTAACTAACAGCTATAAAAATTGCGAACATGATATTTTCTTTTATTTGATCAATTTATATCATTATGTGATCCTTTTTTTTCAATAAAAATGAATGGCATGTATCTCCCAGGTATGTCAGATCAGTTGTAGATGCTATAACTCTTTATCTACCATCAGGTAAGCTTCGTCAGTTAAGTTCTACGCCCGTCACATCTGATTATGTTAATGAATGTAACTGTGTCCCACAAGTAGCTACACACCTATCATTTCCACATCTATATGCTTATTGATGCTTATTCATTCGCATTATTTAATCGGTCTCAAAATGAGGAGGAGAAGAAGACAGAGAATAAGTTGATGAAAAGTGACCTGAGAGAGTAGACATAGAAGTGACTCCATATGATTCCGGGCAACAGAGTCACCTACAAATACCATTATTTTATGTTGAACAATCCTCAGAAAGGTCTTGGGATCGAACCTTGGAAGCTCACATTCGATGGGTTTCCATCTCCAGTTGATAAAGTCTGTGTCCTTCCTCCCATGCTTGAAACAATTCTTCCATTCAGGTATCCATGAACAGTTTGTACTCGTGTACGCAGAACCATTTTGGTCTGGAATCCATTGACCCTTGAACAAGTCACACTCTTCATGATCAATTCCTTGGGTTAAAACATGAGTCCTTTGATCAATTTGTTGATTTGATGCGAACTTGAAAGGTTTGGGAGAACACATAGCGATGAAGCTAGTAATGAAGATTACACCAGCAGAACATAACAAGAAAGTAATCCTTCCACTCACCATCATCATCAGATATCGCTTTTTTTTGTAAGAGTGGTGAAGTTTATGGGAGAATAGAGAGGATGAATTCAAGCTCAGACAGGGTGAGAGAAGGATAAAGAGAGCCCAAGGTGGACATCTAATATGGAGTATTAATTAGGTACCTATTGTTGTTACATGGGAGAAAATTAATGTATTAATTAGGTACCTGGTGTTGTTACATGGGAGAAAATCAATGTATTAATTAGGTATCTAGTGGCCTTAAATGGAAGAAAATCAATGTATTAATTATGTACTGTATTAATTAGGTACCTAGTGTTGTTATATGGGAGAAAATCAATGATATCTAGTCTCAAAAAGAGAGAAAAAGTAAGTTGAACATTGGTAATTAAATATAAAGATTATAATAAGGGGAAATTATGTGGGCTTTTTGGTAAGATTTTTTATATAAAATATCATAAATTATCCTATTAACCTAGTGTTGTTAGAAAATCAATGAGATCTAGTTCCAAAAAAAAAAAAAAAAAGAGTAATTTGAAACATAGTAATTAGATATGAAGGCTATATGTATATATATATACTAGTCGTGGTGAAATTAATTTTTGATATTTAATTTCTAATCTTATTTTTAAAAAGAAACTACAGAATAGTTTTTTGAGTTTACAGAATAATTTTTTGAGTTTACGCATATGATAATGATTTATATTAGTTAACTCTTGAGCTTGCCACCTTAATACCTATTTTGTCATGTCTTCCAGTTCTTCCAAGCAAATATTGACTGGGACTTGGACTAAAGGAGCGACTCATAAGTCATAACATCGTCATCACAACCATGAATTATTATAAAGAAATCAACATCAATATATAAAAATAGAGGGAAATGCATAAATAAAAGAATTAAATATGAAAAATCATTTAAAAAAGAATCTAAGACTCAAAACTACTTTTAAAAACTACCACAAAAACCGTAACCAGATTTTTACCATTTAGTCAAAATAAATTATATTCTATTACAAAGAATAAAAGATATATAAACTATACGAAAACAAAAACAATAATTGCAAAAGAATTTGAAACTATAATTCCAAAAATTCATAGGCTATTTATTGCTCTTTTCTTTCGGACAGTCATAATATTATTCCTTGCGGTTTTTCTACAATTTGTTCATTGGTGACAATCTTATTATAGACTTATTAATCATTCAATTGTTCTTCGTTATTATATAGTTCAACAATCGAATAAATAATTATTTCTTTAGAAATTGTGGGTGAAGGGATTTGTACCCTAATTTCTTGAATGATTACATTCTTATTTTTATCACTCCCACTGATTTAATCATTTCAATGAATATGGTATTACCGATTTCAACAAATGTCATGCCTTGTAAGGAGTAGCAAACGATTTAGGACATTGGCCCGTTTCATCATACTTTTTATAATATTCACCACCCCTATTTGACCTTACGATTTTTACTTTTATATCTCGTTGTCTTTCAACCTCATTTATGTATACTTCAAAAGTATTCATTGCTTGAGATTTTTCATACAATTAATAGATATATCCATAATGTGAAAAATCATCTATAAAGGTGATAAAATACTTTTTTCCACCAAAAGATGTAATATCAAAAGGTCCACAAATGTCTATATAAATAATTCAAGAAGCTTTGTACTTCTTGTAGTTCAAATCTTTGTATGTTTAGTTTATTTACCTTTAATACAATCCACACACACTAAAATGTAGATTCCGAAGAATTTCATCTTTTTCTAATCTTGTTAATCTTTCACGGGATAAATGGCCAGTCTTTTATATCATAAGAAAGATGAATTTTCATTAATTGAGCCACGTTTGATTCCAACATTATGATGCAAGGTCAAAAAAATTTCAGAAAATAAATAATCAAACTTTAATTTGTACAAATCATCAACAAGATACCAAAACCAAAAAATTAGAATTTTTTGAACAAACTGAAACGTCAATTACTAACTTTAAAGGAAAAGCATAAAGTTTGGACATAGAAACAAAAATTTTTACATTAAAAAAACATAAAGAGTTTAAAATAAATTTAAAATAAATTCACCTTCTAAGATTAAACAAAATGTCTCAATGGTCTCAACAAATTTTTTTCCCAATTCTCATAAATAATAAATTCTCATTTGAATTTATAGTATAAGTAATAAGAAAACCTTGCATCTATTAGAAATATAAACATTAGTACTTGTGTCAACCCATGATGTATTAAAAGGAATTTCAATAAGATTGATTCGAAACATACAAAAGCCAAAGGCTTACCTTTCTTTTCGAATCATTCTTTGTATTTTATGTAATCTTTCTAAAAGTGTTCAATACATAAATGACATTTTTGTATTATTACATTCCTTTCTTTTAATAGATTGACCAAAATCTTTTATTTTTGGGTGTTGCTCACTTAATGCCCTTTCAGGATTCTTCCCAAATTTCTTTTTAACTTCTCTAAGTCAAGAGATAAACATAATGATTACCTTGCTACTTAAACCTCCTAAATTGACGTACTTGCTAATTCATTCATATACCACTTATCTTTAATAGTGAATTTGAAATAACCCCAAACTTAGTAGATAAGAAATTGAGAATAAATTGAATGAGAAAAGTGTCATCCACAATTATCCCTAAGGTTCCCAATTTTACAGTAAGATTAGTCATCTCAAGAACATGATCATACATGGTATTAGTAACATTAAAATGTACAGTAGTGATATCAATCATTAGTTTTCCTACTAGATATTTATCTACATTATGAAAGCATTCTTCCATTCAAATATTTCTTAGCACTATCAATTTGGGGAATAATTATTTGCATAGAGATTATGTTTAATCTATTCTATCTCTCCCAAGCTTTATGGAAAATCTTTTTCTTTCTCACTGCTTTCTTTCATCGTAATAGCAACGAGTTTTCTCAATTGGTCCAACACACGTGAATTGCATTAAACTTGCTCAATCTATCATGAGAAGTTAGTCTAATTCAGAATTAGAATATATGTAGTATGTGAATTAAATGATATAATAAAACAATTATAATAAGATAAAATGTTCACAACCATAATGCCTTAATTTAATTACACTTACATTAAATTTTAGAAAAATAAGTACATTGTACAACTATGGTACCCCTTTGGTGGTAACCACAAAATACTAATAATGATACTTAAATGTATTTATATGTATAACTTCATTGGATGATCCATTATTTAATTAAACAGGCAAGTTATCTTTGGATATATTATATCTACCTAATTAAAATGCATACAACCCTTAATGTACATTTAACTACTTGAAAATCAATTCCCTTTAAGAAATTATTTCTCATAATTAAATAAACTCAATACTGATGAATATTACAAAAATCATAAGCATCATAATTCATAAAATATTGCAATTATGTTCACCACTAAAATTAATATTCATCAACTATTATGGTTGGGCCATTTTGGCAGTTACCAACCTTTAAATAATATGAATATTAAATTAGTTAATGACTAATTCATCATTTATTATGTCTACTACTAAATTTAATATTCATCAATCATTATCGTTAGACCACTTTGGCAGCTACCAACCCTCACATAATATGAATATTAAATTAGCTAGTGACTAATTATCATTAATTTATCCATTTTAACATTATACACACATACTCATACTGATTAATTCAAGTTTAAGTAGGTTCAATACCAGAAACTTAGTAGTCCGAAAAATTAATAAAAAATATTCTTTTACTTTATATACATAATAAAGCATATTATTTTTATTTCTGGACTTAGAGATCATAATTGAATCAATTTAATATTGATTCTACTTCTTAACCCCCTTGTACTTTTAATCTATCTATCTATCTATCTATATATATATATATATATATATATATATATATGAAGATATATGAAGACCTTAAATCAATTAACTAATAACTAGGTACCTAATTAATGTTGTTGTTAAATGGGAAAAAATCAATGACATTTAGTCTGGAAAAGAGAAAAAAATAATGAAGGCCCCGAATTTATTATGGTTAGTGATATTCACGATCCACAAAAATACTTAAGCGCTCTATTTTTCTAGTTAATTAAAAGAACAAAAATACCCTTCTATATTTTTCTTGTTTTCTATTCCTCAGAACCAAATTTGTGCGGATTTTCTGAGTGCTTATAGTTTATATCTCTCGAGAGGTAAACCCAAACTTTTCGAGGAAATTCATCAATCGGCGTCATCATATATCTACCACCACCATGTGACGTAACCTGAGAGGGACCCCAAAGATCAGAATGAATTTAATCCACCATACCTTTGGTCCTATGAATTCCTATACTGAACTTCACTCTGCACTGCTTCCCGAAGACACAATGCTCACAGAAATCCAGCTTCCTAGTTTTCTAACCACCCATCCATCCCTCTCTCACTCATATACGCAAGCCGCATATGCCACAATCTGGTAGTATCTAAATCTAGATCCGAGGACGACACAACAACTGAAATTGTGATTGTGCTACCCTACAAAGCATATAAACCATGTTTCTTCATCACCACAAGAGCACCCTTGGAAACCTAAATGACTCCACCTCCAGCCTTATAAATGCACCCGATGGAATTCAACGTCCCTAGGGAAAATAAATTCTTTCTCAATTCTGGTACATACCTGACATCAGTCAATGTCCCCAATATGCCATCATACATCTTGATTCAAACTGTACCGATACCTACTACCTTTCACGCCGCATCATTCCTCATCAGAACTTCCCCTCCATCAATAAGAGGTAAACCAGTCCCTGTTTGGACAAGCATGAAACGAGCAACCTGAATCAAGAATCCACTCATCGCAAGAGCTGCCGACTGAAATTGTGAGAATATTACCACCATCTGTATCATTACCCTCTGCAACAGCCACACTTTCAATTTCAGAGGATTTTACCTTTCCCTTCTTACGCTCCGGACAATCCTTTTTGAAATGCCCTTCCTTGTGACAGATGAAGCACCTCAACACCTTCGATTTGTTCTTAGACTTCAAAAGACATTTGCTGCTAGACGTTCCCTTCTGATTCGTTCTCCCTCTAACAAATAACCTCTCTGTCGAACTTTCTATATTGCCTTCAAACGCCCTTTTGCTGCAACTCCTTAGAATTAAAAGCTACCTTCACGTCTTCCATAGACAAAGCAATTATGTCATACATCATTGTATCGACAAAGTTCTCATACGAGGGTGGTAGAGAACACAACAAAATAATAGCCTGATCTTCATCCTTTATCTTGACATCAATATTATTCAAGTCCATTATGAAACTATTTACCTCGTCAAAATGGTCTTTCAGAGACGAACATTCGTGCATCTAAAGAGTGAACAATCGTTTCTTTAGATACAAGCGATTCGCAAGAGATTTCGTCATTACATGGGACTCCAACTTATGCTACAGCCCATCCGCCGTAGTCTCTCCAGCAACTTCTCGCAGAACCTAGTTACTCAAGCACAATAAAATCGTACTATGTGTTTTCTCCATAACCTCATCTTTGTCGTTGATTTTTTCTAGCAGTTCATCCTTCCCCTTCAGCGCCTTGGATAACCCTTGTTGAACCAACAAAGCCTGCATCCTAACCCTCCACAGGTTGAAATCGTTTCTGTCGTTAAACTTCTTGATTTCCAGAAACTTGGACGACATCCCTGCTTCGAATCGAAAGCTCTAATACCAGTTTGTTAAAACAAACGTAAAGAACCCAAGTTGAACCAAGAATCACGACAAAAAAGTAAACACACCACACAAAGAATACAAAATTTATATGTGGTTCGGCAACAGCCTACGCCCACGGTTGGGATTTGGCAAAAGTTTTCACTATGTGTAAAATCAAAGATTACCAGTTTTCAGCCTATCACTCTGTTTCTGAACAAATTTTAGAGTCTCACTCTTCCCCCCTCCAAGCCCTAAGTGCCCATATATATTGGGTTACAAGAGACTAATTAGGGTCCACGCCCCATGAGCAAAAAACAGGTCAAAGCTCATCCAACGGGTTGTCGGGTGCGACCTGACATCAAATTCGGGCCACAATATCACATAATCTTTTATGGTGATCCGGCAAGATGTTACTCGTCCTCAACCCCTCGTTGTCCTCCGATAATGCCATCATCAAGCTATTGTTGCCGCTACCACTATTCATCATCGAAACCCCACTCGTCGGAGATGATAGTAGCGGCGAGTCACACCCAAAAACCCAAATTAGTAACATATACTTGTATAGTTATATAGAGATAAAGTAAAGAAAGTTAGGTGTGTGTGTGTGTGTGTGTGTGTGTATATATATATACACATACACATACACACACACACACACACACACACTTATGTAGGTGTTGATGAACACCATTGAAATGAATTATATCTCGCCGTTGGTGATGGAATGGGCAATAACTTCGTCGGATTTTATGACCTGAGGATCAGCTTGCCTTCTTATCTCTCTAGAAAGTTCAATTTTGTTCGTGAGCACTCAAAATAAGGTCGCAAATTTTCAAATTTGGGCCTTTTTTATCCAAAACTGGAGATGATGAGAACAAAATTAATCATGAGCTACCAACAAGCCAGTGGCTTAGTGGTACCAAACCCCTACTTCCCAAAGGGAGATCAATGGTTCGAGTCTCGGTGGAGGCATGTGTTTGTGAGTACCAACTTAAAAAAAAAAAAAAAAAAAATTTAATCATGATCTATATGTATAGATACATCATACACTATATTAGTTGGAATGGAAGTGGGTCAAAGAGTGAACTTATCTTCATATATCAATTCAAATAATAAGAAAAAATCCAAAACTTCATTTTTACATTCTTTTGGTAGGTCTTAATAATGGTATCTTGAAATATTACTTAAGCAATGAATATCTTCAGGGGAAAAAATAATAGAAGTTGATTGGAGTAACAATTTCTTACCTAAAAGCCATTATAAGTAAGAAATAATTGAGCACTTTATAAAAACCTTTATTATTTATTTGAGACTGGTGTTAATTTTTTTAAAAAAAAGTTTAAGATTAACAAACATTTGTTTCTGCTTATTGTTTTAAAAATAAGACAAACATTTTAACGTTCTCAAAAATAAGACAAACATTTTAACGTTCTCAAACATTGTATCTGTTTATTGATAAATAAAAACTACACATAAACACTCATTATGTTTAAGCTTAAATGATAAACAATAAACAAAAATAGTTACCAAATGGGGCCTAAATATGAAGACTATAATAATGGGAAATCATGTGGGCCTTTTGGTCATTTAAGATTTCTGATATAAATATCATAAATCAATTAAACAATAAGGGGCGGCAATTTTAACATTTCAACATCTTTTGAATTGGTAATTTTGGCAGGTGTTAACCATTATTTATGTGACATTGACCAAAACCTAAAGGGGGTATCAATGCAATTTACGCTTTAAATACAATCAGCAGATGCAGCTCTTCTTATCAGTTCACAATTGGAGGACTGCTGATTTGGGCCAAACACACTCACGCTTGAATTTCAGCATGATTGCAAGCAGAAAAGGAAGTCCACAGTCTATAAAACAGAAATGAAGCATGTCATCTCATATCACAACCCTGAGAACAATCGACAGTAGGTACTTTCTTTGGCGGAGGTGGTGGTTTTGTATGGAGGGAGGCAGAGAAGAAAAATATTAAAACATTAAAAAATTGGAAACACATCACATTCGCAGGGCATACAGTGGTTGCTCTATGCTATATCATTCTCCAGAATGTGATAAAATACCAAAATTTGATAGTCATGACTACAGAACTATGTATGTAACAACAGGAGGAGGAGAAAAATAATTATGAAGACATGAACCAGCTTCATCCTGGACACACGTCCGATACATCCAATCCCGTCTCATCGGAATGATTGGTAAGGATTGGAGTCACCAGCATTGACACAAATTGGTACATCAGCCCTATTCTATAGTTTTATGGTGTCACCACATGCTTTTCAGAAGTTAAATAATATACAGTGGAACTGACTTAACCTCCAAGGGTGCTTTGAGGAACCAGGTGGTCTTCCAGTTAGGAGCTCTGCAGCAGAACACAAGTGGCTCAGAACGAGCTCATTTTCGACCTGGCCGTCGAAATCTGATCAGCAGGATGAACGGACTGATTGCTTTTGTAGGCCACAAAGAACTGCATAAAAAAAGTTCACGCCTTGGTGAAAATGGAAAAGCACAAAAAACACCAAATATTTATAAAGAGATATTGTTGTTTCCTAAATATCAAAATGCAGTGTACATGTGGGATAAATCATGTTTACTTGAAGATCTAATAAGAGAGGGAAAGAACATTCCCAAAAAGAAAGTAGAGCTCAAGGCATAAATCAAATTCCAGCAAGGTAGAGCAATGGAATGCTTTTCCACCCACAAAAAATGAAGAATACGTTGATGAATTTCACATAGCAAGGATTATGTTCTTTTTTTTTCTTTTATAACTAATACTTTCATTTCCCTTCGCCAGGTAAGCCTATATCATTGCATGTACAAGACCATATTTAAAAAGGGCGAAACAATAAATCTAAATCTAAATAAGCTCCATTCTGAAAGATGCACTTTATGCTTTCATATGTCACAAAAAACACAATTTCATAATTTTTCACAAGACTTCAAAGTGCATCCAATCCTTAATGTAAACTCCATCACCATCAACATCCCAATTACTATTACTACAAGCTTGGATAGATGGCTCACCAGTCCTCAACAGGTTTGACGCATTTGTAATAACTCCTTACTGCCATGAGGGTTGCTTGTATCTAATCCGGTCTCCATCCCATCCGCTATCAGGCTCCTTCCTCTTGAGTACACCTGTCATCTGATACATCTTTAATTGGTCGTCCGCCAAGGCTTGTGAACAAGCAACTGGAAGCTGCCTCAATGCTGAAGGCAACCTCTCATCTCTCCGGTCATCTACAACTCCGCTATCAGGCTCCTTTCTCTTGAGCACACCTGCCATCTGATACATCTTTAATTGGTCGTCCGCCAAGGCTTGTGAACAAGCAACTGGAAGCTGCCTCAATGCTGAAGGCAACCTCTCATCTCTCCGGTCATCTGCAACTGCAGGACCTGCATTAAGATCTAGACCCTGACCTCCCCATTTTCTACTTTCAAGACCAGTGTTACTTGCACCAACTGGAAGGCTCATAACATAGGATCGAGGGTAGTGGGATGATACACCAGCAGTTGGTCCGACAAGTTGTGGGGTAAGGGCAGGAAAGCAAAGTGAACCACCAGATGGAGAATCCATATATGCCGTTGAACAACCTAAATATGAATTTGATGTCACAGGAAAACTGGTGTCAAATGGGAATCCTGGATATTGAAATGGGGTCGTAGGGGGGATGGTAATTGCAGGGGAGGATGACAGCACGGCCCCCCTGTAGATTTCAGGACCAAAAGAACTGCCCCCAGTAGGGGGACCCACGACCCTCTGTGAGGTAGTACCAGTAACAACCGGATAACTCTGCTCCCCTCTACCTGGAAAGATCGACGGGATAGTGATGGCTGAATAGGAGTCACCTTGAGGTAACCATGATGAATACTTTGCTAAATCTGTACTACTCATTCTGACACCAGGAATAGGCGATAGAAATGGCACATTGTTCTTGGCATGTGGAACTGTCTCAGTTACTAACACTTCATCTGGACCAGGTCCATTGTTCAAATCAAAGTCCCTGGAAGCATTTAACTCGCCATTAGAAAATCCACCAGACAAAGACGATCTACCCAGGAATTGTTGAACTTCTAATCTACCACTGTTGCTAAAAGAGAACTGTCCAATTTCAGAACTCTCATCAACTCTGTTCAAATCAAGATCAAGTCCCCCACCACTATGATCGCGAGACCCAGATCCTGAATATGTCGCCCGTGTAGAGTTCTGGGAAAAAGCCACATCCTCAAGAATTCTCTGGTCTGGCACATTCAGGTCAATGTCGAAAGGAGGACGCACTTGTTTGCTTGGAGTGTCATCTGAGAAAGGGGCAAAAGTTGAACTGGGGGGCATTTCCAGAACCTTTCTAGGTTCTGCAGGCCGGAATGCACTGGTAGCAGCTGATCCTTTCCAGCCCATTTCCCCCTTGGTTCTCAAAGGGATTTCAGGAGGAAAAAATGATCCTTTGGCAGCAGCAGCCACAGTAATTGAAGAAGGGAAACTCCCAGACATGGAAGGAATGGGAAAAGGTAACGGGCAAGGGAAATGGATGACGGATGAATTTCCAGGAATTGATGACTTAACAAACTCCCCATGGTTTCCATCATCAACAGAAAAATCTTCATTCAGATCAAAATCCAGCTTAACAGCCACATCTGACCCTGCAGGCAACAAAGAAGCATTCACACAGGAAGCAGGTTCCTTTATCCCTATTTCAACTCCATCTAACTTGCGCCCACTAGACTTCATACACTGTTCTGTTTCTTGTACAGGAACTGTGGGAGACTCCTCTACGGAAGCTGATCCACCAGGACCGTAACTAAGAGCCTCATTTCTTTCCGACTTCTGCTCAGCACATTCACTCTTATGATCTAAGTTGGGTGATCCTAAATCAACTTTTTGTTCCCCAGTCTGTTCAGTCCGGCTCTCTACCTTCTTGGCACCAGCCTTTTCAGCCTGTGACTCCACGACCAAAGCACTACCAGAACAAGAAGGCAGAGTGTCCGCACTTTTTCCACTTGTAGACTTTAAGTGGAGCTTTGTCCCTAGGGATGACATCTGCTCAGTTAAGAAACCACAATCAGACTCTTTCTTCACGGTATCTTTCTCCTCCTTGCACATTCCTAAAGATGAGGGAGAATGGGATTCTTCATTGGCTCCGTTCTCAACTTTTGCACTTGTAACAACTACTTCTGGTACCATTACTACACTGTTCTCAACAGTTCTTTCTTCTGCATAATCTAACTTCTTATCTTCGTCAAACATGGGACTTTTTGCTTTGAATTTAGAATGAGAAACACTGTTATTTCTCAGCTGCACAGAACCTAACTTGCTTCTCTCAATAAACTGGTCAACGTTGTTATCTTCTGCCTTGACCTCTTTTATAGCATCTACGGAAGACATAGCCAATGAAGCATTGCAAATTAGTTTACTGGAGTTCCCATCAGATGTCAAGCGTGGGCAGCATGCATTTTGCTGCAAATCCATAATGGAAGAATCCAGTTGTGCACTGCGCTCCCCCATCTTATCTTCACAGCCGAATGAAGTAACTTTACTATTTCCAGAAAAGTTTGTTGAGGCAGGCATCGCACGATGTTGGGAGTCGATATTAACACACACAGAATCAACAGAATTAACTTGCTCCGCTGTAGAAGCACTGTGCGCAACATCATTCAGTTGCTCCTCATTCCGAGCTATATGTTCATCCAATTGTCTCAATTTCAAATCATTGCCAGAGCGGGGGTCCTCCGGTACAGGTGAATTTCTCCCAGGAGATCCCAATGGTGAGGCATCAGATCTGGGCATTTCTCCAGCAGCCACACTGGCAAGCAGATTCATCCCAATATCATCCCCACCTGATGCAGACGTACTGGCTTCAGATAACTTGACACAGCTCTCAATCAAAGCATTAATAGAGCTAAAAGAAGCATCAAAAGGTTTCCCTTGATTGGGGGTAATTCTGGAAGATAAACCAGTAAATTTGGAGGCTTCACTCAGTTTCTCACCATCTATAGCAGCGCTGCTCCGTTCATCACATGGAGTCCCAGTAGATGACACATTACCTTCATCAGACCCGGCCAATGTACCTTTGCCCTGAAATGAATCCAAGTCCACACTTGATGCACAGGTAACCTGCAAGGCATCAAATTTTCCCTTGACTTTCTGATCGTGGGTGGTAGGATCTTCAAAAGAACCACCACTAGCAGTTTGTGCAAGACTTTGAACAGTGTTTGGCAACCTGACAATCAATCGGTGGCTATTTCCCTGATCCACAGGGGGTATGTCAGCTACCCTTGTAGGTGAGAACTTTTCAGTCGTCGAACTCCTATTTGAAAGGCTAAATTTCCCCAAATCAGTTTCATTTTGAACACCTGAGACAGCTGATCCATGAGGACTCTTACTCAACTTCCAATGGCCAGATGCACTGCTAGATATCTTATTTACGCTCGGGGAACCAGCAGTTGAAGTGCGTGCGTCTTCCCTGTAAGAAGAGCCCCCCATTTTTGCATGATCACTTGAACACGATTGGCTGTTGTTCTGAGACTGACTAGAACTGCTGCTCTTCTCCTCTTTAATTGTTGATAGAGGTAGATCTGAGGCTCCACCACCAACTAATGATGCAGAACTGGCATCCTTGGCGCTGGTACCCATTGATGTAGTCATTGATGCTGCTAATTTTGTTGAGCCAGGAGATTCCGATGCAAACTTAGAAACATCTTCACCAGAACCAAGCTTAACCGGTGTAGTTTTAGCTGCAGAAGACTGTAGAATGGAACTCTTCATACCAACCTCAGAGGATCCTCCAATACGCCGGTTCCCTATATGAGAAACTTCAGAAAGCACCGACTTAGTAGGCCATGAACCACCACCACTTGGCCCAGCCTTCGCTTCAATCATTTTAATCTCAGCTCGAACACGTTCCTTCCATGTGTCAACTAAACTCTTAGCTTTCTTCTGAATTTCAGAATTTTTGTGACTACGTACCAAAAGATTCACAGACTTGCCAACATTACAATTTTGTAGTGCATGAAGATTTACAGGCAGCTTATCCAATGCACGAAGCAAAGCAAACAGAAATTCCTCGGCAGATTTATCGCTTTCCTTCGGGCTAATGCCGTCACCAATCTTCCCTTTATGAAGCTCTTGGAGCCATTCATCCAACACAGGCAGGCCCCTGAGTTGTACAAACCATCCAAGGCAATCAAACCTATCAGTGACAGCAATTACATCAACAAGCATTATTCGGCAAGCCAAATTAATTTTCTTCTCAGCACTGTCAGGTTGCATGAGTTGCACTAGTTTCTCGACCCCTTCAAAATCTACAAGCCCACCTTTGACTGTTATTTTAGCAATCTCAGACTTTAAAATGTGTTCTGGTTTAAATTGACCAGAATCTGGATCATCTGTTTTGGATGACCGCTCCCGTTTGACAGGATCAGATCCTTGCTCACTCCGATCCTTCTTCTTCCCCTTAACCTGAGAAGCAACGGGGGAGTTGCTGTCCTGTATGCTATCCGAACCATGCTTTAACTGTGGTGTTCCCACCGGATTATTCAAGGGTTTCGGGGAACGGCCTCCTGACTGCACTGCTCCGTACATTTCTATTCGTGTTTTGTTTAATAGCTTATCTACTTCTTCCTGCCGATCCTGTATCCAGAAACAAGACTAAAAATCTTATCAAGAGAAGAAACTGGTTAATGTAACTATCATATATACAATACAAAACCACAATACTCACGTTAATGTAATCTCGGTCAGTTAGCCACCATAAACACTTGTTCTCAATATCATACACCCGTCTGCACACAAATGAGGAGATACCTGAAGGAAGTTCAACATCTTTACCAAGAAATGCAACTTTACACGGATGGAGTAATGATGCAGCAGGTATCTCATCCTTGTGAAATGAGTAAAAGACCTCGTTAGGTGCTGCTTCCAGCAAATTACCTTTTCCAAGCTTTACATCAGCTGGTCGATAGAGCCAATTCACACATAAACTTAAACTTTCCTCTTCTCTTAATATTAACCTATGAATTATTCCAATGAAAGGTGGGGAATCCTGGGGTGGCTTGAAAAGTGCACAATCACCAACACAAATCTTGCGCCCATCCTACAAGAAAGCAAAGCCTAAGTGAAGAATACTCCTTAAGTTTTTGAGATAAACAAATTGCGCTTTCACATGCCAAAAATGTGTAGCTATGTACATGTACTTTAGGTACTTCTACTGGAGATAGAAGATATCACAGCAACCTAACCATAACTTATCAGTACTATTAACAAAAAATAAGCCTAAAGAACGTAAGTGACAACTCCACAATTAAAAGGATTCACCAGAAATATTTATAGATGATGTTACATTCTCACATAGCAATTAAGTTGTGGCAAAAACAATAAGTAAGATAAATTCACATAGAAGGCAGAAAGAACAATGACAGTAAATGATCCCAAAAAATTGAATTCTCAAATTTACTTCCACTTTGGACAAATGGCTAACATCCAGACAAGAAGAAGTTTACTTCATATCCAGATGCTATGTTACCTGGGTCCTCCTTTCTTCATCCTGGATTATCTGTATCGGTGCAACATGACATGGGCATGGATACACATACTTCAATATAATGGAACATCTTGCAAAACAGTCGGATCCAACACTTGGATACACGCCCACACCTGACACCCACAACCGAGTTCATGTGACATAACCTAAACAAAGCGACCTCAACCACAGAAGCATATTATTGTTTCTTCTATTAGTGTGCGTCATGGACACTACTCTTACACTAACAGTCAAAATAAATCTATCTATGACAAACCCAGTGTGTGTAGAAACCTAAAATAGAAGCAATCCAAGCTTGGCATTTGTGTCACTAGATTAATTGGTAAGTAATGATGTCAAAACAATAACCACCGAAACAAACAAAAATGAAAATAGTAGTCCAATTCAGGGTGTTTGGATAATAGTCGCACTAATATCCCAAAGACTGCTTTTAACCACTCATGATCGGGCTGTTTAACAAAGCAAAGCTAATGACATCAGTAACATTTCAAAGAATGCTTCCAAATTCCAACAACACATGGTGAAAAAAGATGTTTCAATCTACATTCGTGTATTTAGGGCGTACATGATTCCTATAAAGTTTGTGACAAAATTATGATATGAAACAAAACTACACATCTATAGAAATAAAAGCCAAGTTTATATAACACTCTAACAAATCCATCCAACTGTTTGTGCTGAAAAGATGTCCAACTTACATTTATATTGGATTTGTTCAGAAATGAATGATTCTTGAAATTTAGCGAGAGAGTATTTCCATTAAGTGAAGTAATTTATTACAACAAAACACAGCAGAAAATGAGTTCAGCTATGCAAATGAGTTCAGCCACACCACCCATAATTGCCAAACCCTAGGCAAAACTTAACGTCAAAACTTCCCAGCCCAAAAAATTCAGTAACTACCTCCAAAAAGACTAGCTGATCTAAACAAGAATTGAACCAGTTAATTAGAGAGCATATAGAGATTACCAAATTTGCATAGCAAAAAAAAATTTGAGCCAATCTCACATTTAGTTGAACATTTTGTTTGGTAATTTCACCCAAAAGCCAGACACACACCAAAATATATATATATATATACACACACACACACAACCCTCAGTACATAAAAATTGCCTTTATTTATCTATTCATTTTTCTCCTGAAACCTACAAAACAACTCAACAACATGACATGACCAACACGATCAGCATTCTCACTATCCACTGGATGACTATAAACCAGTAAGAAATTTCTAACGAATCTCGCTGCCAAAATTAATAATTGAAGTTATATCGTCGTCAACCAAGGAAAAAAAAAAAAAAACAAGATATATACCACCGCCACAGAAAACACAATAAAAGCAATATATATATTTACATATGTTTGTAGGTATACTTTGGAGAATGAATCGGATGTAATTGGAGCAGAATCGGTAGCGGCTACAGACGACGTGGTGGATGCAGGGACTGACCACATGTGCCGGCGGTGTGTCCTCCGCTCACCTTCCCGCCCATGCATAATAACCGTCCATAATCGCCGGTTACGGTACCTATCAAGCCACTTGCATCACTGACGAGAAACATCAACTCCAATAAATTTCGACCTTTTTGATCCCCTTATCAATAAAACCCTAGATGATAATATTTTACTCGAGCTGTTTTGAAACCCTCGATCGATGCATAAATTTTGTGTCGCCGTTAGAAAAACGGAAACCCTAAAAATCAGGGCTCAATTTTAAGCTAAGAATCACCGGAATTTGACATTTAGGGCTTAGGTGTCGATAAATCGAATCGATTTGACGGAAAATCCGACTGATTTGGATCTCAAAGAGAGAATTGAATTAGCAAAGTCGAGAAATTTCAGGGGAGGGTTTCGAGTGAGCTGTTTCGTTGTGTTTTGTGTGTGTAGAGAGAGAGAGATTGTGAAACGGCGAATGGACGAGCAGGTGAAATGGTTGGGCGGACCGTTGGGTCAGGTCAATTTGGCCAAGGGAATAATTGATGCGGGAAAGGAAAACGACACCGTATTCATGTTCCTTTGCCATGAATATTTTGGTTCTATTTCTATTTGAACTATTTTTTAGTAAATTATACTAACCTCCCTCAAGTATAACTTGGTTTCGTTATCATTGTTTAATTTGTGAAAAAGTCTTTGTGAACTCAAATGATAATGTCATCCGATCAAAAATATATTCGTGTTTCATCTTTGCATTCAATACTAAAAAATTTAATTTTATGTTAAAAAATTATTTTATTGTAAATTTTAAGAGTTTGCTTAATTTTTAAGATTAAAAATAGTTCTCAATAATTCAAAAAAATAAAAAATTATTTTTATTTTTATAACTGAATTTTCATAAAATTGAATTAAATAGATTTTTTTGTACTAACAAAAAATTATTTTTATAGTTACAAACCAAGCGGATCATAACTTTTTTGTTAATTTTCATTCAAATGTTTTTCTACCATACCCGTCACTCCAATGATCCTGTTGCTTTATATACTTGGCATTTTGGATAATAAAAATTTAAAGTCATACATTATATACTCATGCTTTTTTTACCACATTTTTAACTTCATTATTTGCTTATTTTTCTTTTTCGAACTTTCTTTGTGTCTAGTATGCTGTTAAACTTGTCAAAACTTTTTAAAAAATAAATAAATTATACACGCACTTATTATTATTCAATTGAGGACTTAACTCTCAACTTTTAAATGGAAAGAAAATAAAATACCATTTAAGTCGTTAGTAATACCACTTCTGTGTTTTTTTTAACAAAATTTGGAGAAATCTAATTCTACCACTTAGTTTTCTCAGAAAATCATGTCATTTTATTCCAACATTACATACATTAGTTTCATCTTTTAAATTCTCATTTTACATGGAAGTCCACCTACTGCTTTTATACTTGGAAAAATATCAAATTCTCTTATTTAATTAGTTTACTTTTAAAGATTTTTAAATATTCAAATTTCTTTAGAAAATATGCATTTATTTTAGATAACATATATATATATAAATAGAGTAGTGGTCTCTTACTTCTCGTGGAATAAGAAAATTCATCCCACTTTCTATAGTAGCCATTAGATCTAATCTAACGATGATTATAAAAATCCATTTACTTCATTTATTTTTAATACAAAACCATTGTTATTATTTTAGTTTATAAATTTAATATTTACCAATATCACTAATTACAACAATAAAATGTAATTACCCAAAAAAATTTGAAACCTTACACCTTTGAAAATCACGTCTCTCAAACAAATAATTACAAGAGACAATTAGAAAAAAGAGATTTTAATCCATTGAAATTTATGGAGTGAAGTGCTGTGTAGAAAAAATAAATTTTATTTTTATTTTTATCTTTTTTTGAGCCAATGTTGTATATATCATTAGTTTAATTTTCTTGTTGTGAAATAGGTCGATGTATGTATGATTGGGACTATGATTTATTATGAAATTGCTAAGCAGACTTAGTGAATAGTTTGTGGTAGTTTTGTAATAATCAGAACTTGGGATTAAAGGGAGACAAATGAGATAAAGAACTTGCAAATTCAATTTATATGGAGAAAGAGAAAATACTCAGGTCTTTGTTTTAGAGATAGGTGATTTTAAAAAATGAAGTGGTTTCTATTTTTTATTTTTATTTTTTCCTTTTTTTGGGTAACTACCTTTTATTGTTGTAATTAGTGGTATTAATAAATATTAAATTTGAAAACTAGATATAGTGATGGTGGTTTTGTATTAAAAGGAAAGAATATAGGTGAGTTTCTATAATGATAGTTAAATTAGAACTAATGGTCTCTATAAAAATTATGGATGAATTTTCTTGGATCACTACTCTATATATATTGGGAAGGTTAGGATCACTACTCTATATATATTGGGAAGGTTAAACAAACTCATATCCTTGAACTCCTTGGAGGGGTGGGTTTGTAACAGCTAGGCAACAACACCCTACCTCCACCAAGGCTCAAAACCCTCTAACTCTCCTTTGGATAAATGGATTTGTATCAACTGGGTTATTGCCCATTTAGTGTGTGTATATAAGGTCAAGTGCAGAAAACACCCCTATTGTGTGCTTACGATGTGTATCACATCTCCATGTGCAGAAAGCACCAATAAAATTTTATTTTAGTGCAAATAGGTCTCTCCTGACACATTTAAGATATAGTTTGACTAAATTATCCTTATATACACATTTTACATATTATTTAAAAATGCATCATTTTATAAAATGACGAAAATGGTTATTTAATACACGAGGGGTGTGATACGCACCTTAAGCATATTATAGGGGTATTTTATGCACTATTTAACGGTTAGATTTAATTGAGAACATAGTTTTATCGCTATTTGAATATCATGATGACGGTAGATGATCGAACACCCATTTGTTCGTTTTTTTTTCCCAATAAAAATTGAATACTCAATCATTTGTTGCTATGTACATAATTATATATATGTGTGTGTGTGTGTGTGTGTGAAAATTTATTGTAAATTTTAAAGTTTAAAAATTAAATGTATATTTTTATATAAAATGAATAAATATATTTAATTTAATTTTTTAATTATATATTTAATGAAAATTGCTAACTATATTAAAATTTAATTGAGAATATATATATATATATTTTATAACTATAAAAGGAACTGAAATTTTCATTCTATATTATATATTGTACACTAATCTAATAATCGTGACAAAATTATTTATTTATTTTTACTGACGATTGTGACAACAAATATATATATATATATATTTTTAAGAGAGATAATACACTGTTAGTGGAAATATATAGAGATAATTTTTTTTCCCGAAAAGGTGAGAAAAACTTTAAAAGTGGGTTAAATATAATTAATGTGCGCATAACACCCCTATACTATGAGATTATTAGCATACACATCCCCTTGGACATTTTCAGAAGAGTAAAAGGATAAAACGGGTATTACAACATTATTTTATGTCAGATTTCTGATTAAAGGATGTTTCCGCATAATTTAAAATATATATATATATGGGTGTTTTTAGCACACCTTTTCAAATAGGGAGTGAAAGTGCTATTCAAAATATACATTAGGAGTGTTTTCTGTACTTGACTCTTATATATATATAAACACTTTTAATATTTTTATTTTGAGTAAATAACTCCGTTAAATTTGAAAAAATGAGTAAAAAATGGTTTGAAGTCATTGTTGAGATATAAAATTCTGAAAATACTCTTATCTTTTCTGATAATGCCCTTATAAAGGCAAAGTGAGAAAAGCACACCTATTGTTTACATTTTTAGCAAATAACACCCCTATAATTTATTTTGACTATATAAGTCCGTTAAGTTTGAAAAAATGTGATAAAGAAAAGCTTAAGGTCATTATTTTGTTAAAAAAATAGTCATGTGTATTGCACATTATATTCTTTAGACATAAAGTTTTAAAAATACACTTGTCTCTTCTGATAATACCCTTATATATATATATACATGTCTCTTCCGATAATACCCTTATATATATACACACACACACACATTTGTCACATTTAATTATTATTTTTACCTATTTTTTATTAAATTGTAGAGGAATATTTTAATCTTTTCAGCATCCAGGTCATTGTTTACATCAAAATTTAATGTTAAGAAGGTTTTATAACGTATAGGGGGTTATATACTCTCTATGCATACCATAAGGATATTTATTTTTTGCTTGCAACCTGTTATTATATATATATATATATATATATATATATATATATATATATATATATAAAGAGGGATAGTTTAGTTATTTCACATTTAATTAGTTTTTTTACCTTTTTTTTTTTTTTTAAATCCAGTTAGAGAGGGACACTTTAGTCTTTTCAGCGTTCAAGTCATAGGGACTTTTTAGTCTTTGCTCCAAAATTGAATCTTAGGGACTTTTTAGAATGTATAAGGGATTATATACTTTATATGCATACCATATGGGTGTTTTTTGCTCGCAGATAAGCACTGAATGTAGCACATTTGAGCCTTTAGATTTGTATATTTTAATACCTTAGTAATATTTATTTTATATTATTTATGCTCTTTTATTGATTTTTGTTATTTTCAGCTAATCTCGTGAAATTCAGTCAATTCCGTTACTTTTAGGGTCTTTAAGTTTAATCGATGGATGGAGACCACAAGAGATAGAGTATTTAAGGTGATCCAATGGCCAAGATCATTTAAGGATGATTTTAAAAGAATTTTAAAGGAGTTTCCAGTAAGCAAAATTCGTTTTGGGTAATTATATGAAGAAGTTTTCCTATTCTAATAAGAAAATAACTTGAGTAGGAAATTCTGAACTTATTTCACTGTTTTGAACATAACTTTTTAATCAAAACTCGGTATTGGGAAAACTTAACGGCTCTGGCAAGAAGGCTTAAAGCCCGTCGTTTTTGTGTCTAATATAAATATTGAGATTCATACTTCAAATAGGTCAAAATAGCGTTGCAAACTAACAAAAATATAGAAAACT